GAGCGCTTCATGGCAGCCGATCCCCAAGTTTCTGTCACCCAACTGCTAATGAATACAAATGACTCAATTATCCCGTCACAGGTGATCCGCAGCACAGGCCAGCCGCAAAACAGCCCCAGAACTGATTAGCCAGCGAAGGGGCTCAGTTGAGCGCTCCCCAGAGCAGGACGGACCCCACCAACGCTGCCCCGTGACCCATCGCACCCCACATCAGCCCCCTGCCCTGGGGCAGGCAGGGACATGGCCACAGGGCAGGCAGAGCCCAGGAGCCACGAGGACAGGCCAGAGGCCCCAAACCCTTCTCCAGGGCAGGGCTGGGCTCCTCTTTGAGGCCACTAAGGTATTTCTCTACAGAAATGGCTCCAAGGTCCACATGAAGAGCACCAGGGGCTAAACCGAAGCTGGGGGCACCCAGGGCAGCCCCCACCGTGGCCAAGGAGCACAGGGTGGCTGCGTGCGGGACTGCGCAGTCCAGCAGCAGGACTCTGCTCCACCCAGCGGCAAGCAGGCATGGAGCAGGCGCTGGGGATGCACCTCGCTCCCCCTGCACCCCTCCAAAACTGGGGAGCAGGACCCCAGCCTGGACAGCCCGGCCAGGCAGAGCCGGTCACTGCTCCAGCTCATGGGGCAAGCAGCTGCCCGAAGCACGCCAAGCACCCACAGGTGACACCCACAACACCCCACCTTCTACAGCAGAGCAACTGCTCTGCCTCACACAGAACCACAGGCAGAGGTGTGGAAATCATTAAATCTGAAATATTGGCATAGAAGAGAGCTGAGTGGGAAGCAGACAAAGCCTGTTGGGGGGGGGTATCCCAAAAAAAACTCGACTGGCAGCTTGAGCAGCCCCTTACACAGCCAGACTGGGTCAAGCTCCAGTGCAGGAGGGAGCCCAGGCTGCGTCCCTGGAGACAAAGCTCCCTGAAGGGAGCTGTGCGAGGGCGAGGTGTTTGTTTCACTTGCTTTCAGGGAAGTTTAGTGTCTCTAATCACAGCAGATGAGGTTTCCCACGTCTGAACAGCGACTCCCCCGGATCGCATCCCTCCACGCACAGCGGCCCACGATCCGCATCAGCACACACGCTCTACAGACGCTGCAGCAGAGCAGGCAGGCGCAGGCAGCACAGGGCAGCTCCGTCCTGCACGTTTGCCCTAAAAAGACAGCACACTCATATTTCTACATTTTTTTTATTGACAGTTCTAGGGAGAACAGTTCATTTCTTCTTCTCCACATCCTGCTCTGCCGCTTCTTTGGCGCGTTTTGCGCGAATCCCAAAGAGACGGGCGTTGGCCCGGGCCATGCGCAGGCTGGCAAAGGCCTTGAAGTTCTTCTCATCTTCTGAGATAACACGGGCCTTCTCCCGTTTGAAAACCTAGTGGGAGAGAGCGCCAGACGGTCAGACTGCACATCAGAGGCTAGCAGAGAAGACTGCATTTAAGGCTTTACACAATTAATCTCGCTACACTTTTACCACTAGCTCCAGGATGCCGTTAAGAATAGAGCATTTATGCCACCTACAGGCCCTGCCCTTATCACTCCCCCAGGCACCTCGTTTCAACCGGTTCCTCATTCGCCAGCGCACGTCAGCACAAGGCCAGAACATCCCAGGGAAAAAACAAGCGCAACGTGAAATCTGAGTCAGGTTTGTGGCGCGCTATCAACAGCGCCTTTCAGAAGTAGCGAGGGTTTCGAGGTAAATGGCGACTACGCAACCGGCCTGGGCTGTCGTGCTGCCAGCACACACCCCTCACCCAACTGGCAACCCTCAGTGCCCCAAATTTCACAGGGGGACGAGCGCCCTCGAAGGTACAAGTGGACAAACAATCCTGGAGCCTGCCTGGAGGACACAGCGCTGAGCACAAACACACGCTGGAAATGCTTCATGTGCGCTTTAAACTGTGTCCTCACAGGAATCATGCAATTTGAGGGGTTACTGCACAGGTCCCCCTACAGAGAGCGCGTACGTAGCTGAGCTTCTCCTGCGTGTCATTTAGGGCAGGAGTGGAATACGTATACGATTGTTCCCAACCAACGCATCTTGACCTGAACCCATGACACTGGTATCTGGAGCTCTCCCCTGCACCCAGAAACACAGATCATGATTTTAAGGACTTCCTCAGTCAATAAAGTTTAGCGGAGCTCCAAGCAATTAGTTCTTTGCAGTGTGCTCTGCAACACTGAGGAACCGAACAGATCTTGGCAAAATACAAGGACAAGCTTGACCTGTTCCTGGTCTTCTCTGATCCAGGATGGGAAGAGCCTGAACACAGCAACCCTTAACTGCAGAGCAGCAAGAAGAGACTCCTCGCCGCAAAGTTTAAGTCTCAATTATGTCACACAGAGAATGTGATTTAATTACACTTACATTCTTGATCGGCATAACCGGTCCAGTCAGCTGAGTCGCCATCTTGAGTTCCTCAGCCTGCATAACAAGAGGACAAAAAACATTATTTAAAAAAACCAGTATTTAACTTAAACACGCTGGTAACAATTCTGACTGGAGATTTAACACCACCTGGTAACGAATTCAGCATTTCAGTCACGCAGCTACAGGAGTACTCGGCACAGACGTGCCGCATCAACAACCTGCATTTTGCCTAGCCATTGATCAGCCCAGACCTGGCCAGAGGAGCAGTGGCCTTTCGGGAGTTCAGCCAGCTGGAAAAATGTTGACATCTACTGTAGCGTTTTTATTTTGATACCCAGCATACCCCTCAGCAATTCCTTCTAAGGCTAGTTCCAGCTTCTTTAAGAGTATGGCATTGCACAAAAATGATTAAGTTTTATTTTAGATATTTGATTTCAAATAAACAAACTTGAAACAGCATTCCAGACACAAGTACCTGTACCTACTGGTACAGAAGCTCAAGCCCCTTCCTGCCCTGTTCTGAAAAGCAGCCCGAGTACGGTGGGCTCCACTATGGTTAGTCAGCACAGAGCCGACAGACTCTCCAGAAGATTGAGGATAGCTTCAACACACCACCTCGTTTCATGACTCGCACCACCCCACGGGAAGCATCTATTTACCACAGGCAGAGCCAAGGACAGACAAGGAAAGCCAACTCTACTCTGGATCTCAGTGAGATTTTAATGAAAAGCATTTTTGTATGTCAACAGCAACAACCTTCTCAAGACTGCCTGACGCATGGCTTTCACTGAACTACTCCACTGAAAAGTATGTCCTCGCCTTCCTCACCCTTTCCATGTAGCTGTCACCACAGCAGAACAGAACTCCAGACAGACTTTTCAGCCATTCTGGCAATTCAGCTTCGTAAACTAAAATTCAACTGGTTGGGCAATGATCAAAGCTCCAGCAAACAGGCCACCTGAGGAGTCCAGCCCCAAATCTGAGCTGCACCCCTTCAGCAGCACGGCAGTCCGTCCCTAGGCCGAAAGTCTGTCCAAAGCATTACTGTAACCCAGGAGATCCCCGCGGAAATCGACTCTACCAGGCCTGGCCTTGCGCTGGGCTCAGTCATCCCTACACATGTGCACAGGAGCCACGTTGCCCCCAGAAGGGTTGCTCCCCCCTGGAGGGTTTATGTTATGAAAAGCGTTCCAGAGCCCTGCCCGACTGCACAGCACAGCACCGGGGCGGACTGAGGACCCAACCTCTGAGAACGCTACCAGACACAGACCCCGTGAAGTGTTTATAGCAGCCAAGTACTTACAGAACTGTCTCCCTTCTTAGGCATGGCTGGCTTCCTTGGGAAGAGGATGAGCTTGGAGCGGTACTCCTTCAGCCTCTGCACATTGGCTTGCAGTGACTCGGTAGACTTGTTGCGTCGCCTGGGATCCACAGAGATTCCAATAGTCCGGGCAAACTTTTTGTTAATGCCAGCGAGCTGAAGAGAGAGCGCAGTGTCAGCACCCGATGGCTCCCAACGCCACCATGCCATGGCTGGGAGCTGCACTGGTCACCAGCCAGACAAGGGTTCGAGCGCAGCCGTCACAGGCTACAGAGTCTGGAGAAAGGCTCAGCATCCGACCAACGGCATCCTGACGCCTGTATTTTAATGCTTAAAACATTACACAGGCCTCACAGTAATTTTTGCAGAGGGATTTCTTCAGGAGAGCAAAGTACAACCCCTGAGTAATTATGAGGGCGACATTTACTCTGATAGACGCAAGACAAATCTATGAAGTCAGCATGCAGATAACTCTGGTTCACTGAATACTGGAAGCTCCATTAAAGAAGTATTTTTTGTAACCATCTTAAACAAGAGATAACTTCATTTTCTGTTTAAAGACAAACATCTGCGTACCATTTTGTATTCCACCATTATCCAAAAATTAAAGAAAAATAAAGTAATAAAGCATTTGGCATCCAGAAGAACAAGTTTACTGCTTCAATGCACTGATTTCACTGTTATAAATGTTTTAATTGGATACTAAACAACGCCCAAGAGGCAGCTGTGGATGCTGGCTGCCAGCAAGCACCGATGTTTATGCCTATTCACTGCATGGAAATACGTGGGTGGGGGTTTCTGCAGACCACCACAATCCAGCTTTTAACAGCTCATCAGCTTGGCACACCTGGAAGGTCATAGAGAACGGTTTCCTGAAGCAACAAAGGGCACTGAACACTTCCCACAGACTTTAAGTGTTCCTACACCAACTCGTAGCTATTGCATGAGAAACAGCCGCAGCTACTCTGTGAGCCTTGGCAGAACAGTTCCCTCTCCTGGCACAACATCCCTTACTTCTGCTAGGGATAAGCTTAACGCAGTTTACTTGGTCCACAACACACACAGGTTCATGCTGGCTAAAGTTTTTAGGATTAGCAGAAACATGTTTCACAAAAAAACCAAAAGAATTTAATGAAGAAGCTATTAGTCTTTCTTCCCAAAAAATGTTTAGGAGGCTCAATTAAGGCACTACCAGAATCCAACTTTAATGGAATTTTGTTTAAGTGACAGTCTGACCAGACAAACAGACATTTACTTTTCAAAGCAACCTTTCACTCTGACATATACTACTGCGTCCCCACCCCACGGTTACAAAGAAAAGGTAAGACCAGTATTTTCTACGCTGGCCAGCAACACCAGCTATCTCCCCTGGCTCAGCCAGCATCAGCAGATACCGACGCCTCGGCAAGTCTACATGCAGAGGAACAGGGCAAGACAACCGAGCTCAGACTCAGAGTTAGTTTTATCGGGTTGGGATCAGTGCTCCGTACTTACTTTGAGCTCTTCTAGGCTGAAGCCTCTGCCAGCACGGACTTTTTTGTGGTATCTGATAGTAGGGCACCTCACTATAGGCCGGATGGGCCCAGCCACGGGACGGGGAGCGATGCGGCGAGCCTTTGCCTGGCGGGCCTTCCTCCTGGAACATCGAAGGGGACAGCGATCAGGAACACCGCGTTTCTGCCAGGTACGCCACTCCTACGCTGGCAGCTGACCTCCCTTGCTGGGCAGCATCTGCCGCATGGGGATCTCTCAGAAACACACGCAACGCTGGCCTAGCAGCTCAGACGAGGCGGATGCCTGCTTCCACAGAACAGCCGCGGTCATCAGATAGACAAGGGTTCGAGGGAATCATCAACGTGGTACAGCGATTCCGGAGATTTCTCATCACTTGACCGCAGCTGGAACGGCATGTGCTGGAGCCCGACCCCGACCAGAGACCCCACGCCAAACGAGCGCCCTGCTGCAACCCCAGAGCCTTTAACAAGTAAGGTTAGGGGAACAGCTTAAAAATAAAGACGCAGTACTTCAGCTTCCCCA